AAGCAGTGGTATCAACGCAGAGTACTCATACCCTTGTCCATTTCTACGCTATTGAAAGTCTTACCATCATCAGAAATAAACTCGCCTTGAATAACATCCATCTTGTGATTTTTCATTTTCACATACATTGGAGCCATTCTAAAAGACTCAAATGGATTTTTAATAATTCCTGTCATTCCATTTACAAGAGAAGAGCTACCATCTTCTGAAAAATCTTCCCAATAATTACGAAGGCAAATCATTCTCTCACCATCTTGCGGAAGTCCGCTATAACCAAGTATCTCACGCATCTGATTATTTAATGAAATGCGGGAAGCGTTAGTGGCACATATAATCTGGTCCGCCCAAGTCAAATGCCCAGTTACAAGCGATGCCTTAGGGGCGATAATTACTTCTTTACCATTCATAAAGTCAATCTGCTCACCATTACGAATTTTCATAGTCAACTGAATAATCTCTGACTCAGCTGCCTGACGCATAACCTGGTCTAAAAAGATATGAGGCTTATCTAATAATGTATGAGTTTCCTTTTTATCTATCTGAGGTAACTGGAATGGGTCACCTAAAAAGATTACATATACTCTATGATTTAAGAGCATATCAACCATTGATTTAGGCACCATAGAAACCTCGTCTACTACTATAATTTTATATTCAAGCATTTTCTTAGGAATACGAATAAAACCGCCACCCTGTCTTGGAATACTATCGTAAAGTAACTTATGTAAAGTCATAGCATTTGGATTGCCTTTCTTACGAAGTACCTCTGCGGCTTTGCCTGTGTAGGTGGCATACGCAACCTTGTCCTGGTCAACATCAAGTGCGTCAATGATGAATTTAACCAGAGTAGATTTTCCTGTACCCGCATACCCGCTAATTACTGTATATTTTTCATTCGCTTTATGTCTTTCCAATGCAATTTTCAAACCTTCTTGCTGCTTTGGTGTTAATTCCATTTTTGTCACCTCTCACTTTCTTATAATTTATTATAACATATTTTTTTATAAAAAACAAATTAAGGGTACTATAAATAGTACCCTGTAACTATATACTTAAATTCATCATATGCGTAACCACTTGTAAAAAATTTATCAGACTCTTTAAAAGTCCTCATTCGGATATCTTTTAATTTACACCACGATAAATATTTTCCAAAAATAGTTTTAAAATCTCCATTTTTCTCAATACAGCGATTGATATAAAGAAGCCATTGTTCTTCATAAAATGGTATATCTAATTCTTGCATAATAGGTAAAAATGTTGACGGCTTGAATACATTTATTACTTTCTTAATATCTTCTTTGTAATAAGGAAATAAAGTACCATCTTTGTACTTAAAAAACCATTCTTCTCTTTGATGTGGTAAGGTCACATCTTGCTTTTCTAATCCAAACTCTGTTATTGGTCTTGCCCATGGTTCATTTATTGGACTCATTTTATATAAATTGAACCTCCTTATAAGAATCTCTAAAACACAATTCAGGTTTTACAATTTCATTTATAAAAGTTTCATAATGTTTTGTATTTAATGCCGCATCACAGTAAACTTCATGTTGTCTTGTGCCACACCAACCTGGAAATGTTTCCAAATCTTCTTTGGTGAAAACATTCACAGTAATGCGATGATTTTCACCATAGATTTGGTAAGATTGTGTTTTATTCCCTAATAAAATATAATGAATATATCTCATATTAGAATCCCCAATCTAATACAGTAGGTTCTTTATCGACAAGTTCATAATCAACCATAATAAGCTGAGGGTCAATCTGCCAATTCCACTCATTGGCTGCACACTTACAAACCGCATTGATTGTATGAACTCCGGTTCCGAACATTTCAACTTCTTCATCAGTTCCACCAAACTGGATAATATCCACGCCAGGGAGACTATATTTCAAAGTATTTGATTTCATTACTTTGAATGTATCAGAGTCAACTGTAATATTTTTAATCAATACCATTGCTCTATCAATATCTTTACCCCAATAATCATTCATATTGGCGATTTCTAAAATCTTCTCTCCGTCTACTGCGGAAGCATCCCAAATATAATCTACAAAATATGTAGGCTCTCCGCTCATATCCTTCAGAGCTTCATCAGTTCTCTCAATAAACTGATATAATCCATCGCCAGCTACTTCTGCCTGGTTCTCATCATTAGGATATCCCACATCCAGTCCAAGACCGAAAGCACCCTGGTGGCCTTCTGCAAATAAGGCTCCGGCCTCCGCACACATATCCTTAAACATCATATCCGCACCATAGCCACGAGCAGAACCCTGATATGATACATGACCTGTTTCATTATCTGTTACTTTTGTTAAGATACAAACAGGGCGCTGATACTTTGCCATAAACTTATTTGCAATCAATCCCGCAATGTTTCTGTCAATTTCACCTGGCTCAAGTAAGAATAAAAGTACTTTATGTTCAAGCATATTATTCTCAACAATTAAATGCTCTAAGTGTTCAACTCCAGCATCCTGAGCTCTTGTCTGACGGTTCTTAACATTAGTACAAGTTCTAATTGCCTGGTCTACAAGTCTTTCCATATCTCCAGGCTTATGACCTCTCTTGTTTGAAGGTATCATTTCAAATGCTTTTGTTTTAAGCATTGAATAGAAAAGTAATGTTTTCTCCTCCATAGTACCACTTCTAACCATTGCATTAACAAAAGGTGCGATAAAGAATGCAGCACCCATAGGTGAAATTTTCAAATGATTATCTACGGAAGGCTTATAATCTGCTTTATTTAATGAAAAGCTATTTTTCTCACTCATTTCAAAAATGAATGGGTTTGTTATATTCTTATCTTTGAAGCCTTCAAAGATTAAACTCTTTGTTTCTATTGATGTCATTGACATCATATCTGCCATATTACCAAGAGCAACTAAATCAAGGTAGTCATTGGCATATGTATTGCCGCCCAGTGAGTCGAGGTATCGACAGAACTGCCAAGTTACTCCAACACCTGATAATTCCTTATTTGGATAATCAGACATTTGATTGTTAATAATACAAGCATTTTCTGAGATATGGTCAGCTTCGTGGTGGTCAAGAACTAGTACATCAATTCCTTGCTCGGATAGAGCATCGTGATAATCATAGTCATTTGATGAACTATCTGGACAAATAACTAACTTATAGTTCATAGCTTCGTCTAAGCAATCTGAAAGACCATGCTGCTTGCCGCCATGAATAAACCAATGAAGATGATTTTCAACAAAAGCTGGAAATACATCTGATAAGTAGTTAATCAACAATGCGGAAGATGTAAAACCATCACAGTCGGCATCGACAATAACTAATATATCATCATTTGCGGCAACATGACTCATAAGCATCCTAGCTCCTCGTTTCATGTTTTCTTCACCGAACGCCGCAGGTTTACTTACATTGTCCATTGTGGAAGCAATGTAAATTCCAATATCCTCAGGTTTAATTCCTCTATTTGTAAGCACCTGTACGGTAGCTGAATAATTGTCATTTGGTTCTTTTATTAGTTCTACTTTCATTAGTACAAATTTACCCTCCTTTTATACAATTCCAAGAATGTTTCGGGACCTCGGTCAATGGGCGAATCTTTGTACCCTAATAAATCCCATTTATCAAAACAAAAACTAATCTTTGTGAACATTCCATATTTTTTATGTATCTGCTTTAAGTTTCTAATTAACTTTTTAAATTCATCATCATTCACTTCTTGAAACTGTTTATCGAAGCAAACAATGATTTCCTCTGCACCCTGGTTCATCAGCAACCACGCTTGATATTGAATAAGATTACTACCACAACAAGCAACCGATATATCATTATCTCTGCCAAAATAACTCGCATATAATAAGCAAGACTTTTCTCCTTCAAAGACAAATGCCTTTTTTGCTCGTCTTATATTATTTTTGCTGTTATCTATATTATATAAATTAAAAGACAGAGGGTGATTATATAATTGTTTGTTAATTTTTGCTGGTCTGTACTTACCAAAAATTTCATTCTCTTTAATAAGTGTTCGTTCTCTTATACCAACTAATCTATGGTCAATATCATAATGAGGTATTACGATGCCACCATTCTTTGGGTCATAACATATATCGTGATAATCCATAACTTCCTGAGTTATTCCTTCTTTAATCCAAGCCTGAATCTTCGGATGTGGAAGATTTTTGAGGAAACCACCATCATATGTTTTTAATTCTACTATTTGAGTAGAAATCTCTATATTACTAATTCTATCATAATTTTCTAAATATTGCAAGTCAGCGTCAATAGAGGTTGGAGTTTCATCAACTCTTTCAGATGGCGCATAACCAAAATATTGAGCCACATATTGGATAGCTTGCGGAAGCTGGTAGTCGCACTCTAGTTCTCGACTTTTAACTTTTCGAACTAGTTCAAAGATATCAAAGGTGGGTTCCGCACATCCTGTATAACAACGACATAGCTTTGTGTTATCATAATAGTATAACTTATGACTATCTCCACCGTGACATATGGTCTTGCACCATAAGACTTCATGTTGGAGCTGAGGCTCTCCGCCCAACTCCGCAATTAAATCTCGCACTTGCTCTATTGTTAAATTATTCTTAATCGCATCTTTATCATAATCATATACTATCATAAATATCTTCTCCAGAAACTCCAAAACGAACAGTGGCATTTAACCAATTTTCTACTTCAATTTCTGTTTTTGGTGTTTGAGACCATTTATATAAAAATTCCCTTAATATAGCTCTATTTGCATTTTGTAATAATTGTTCATTATTTAAATGGCATAGGTCTATCTTTTTTTCTTCTTTCATAGTTTACCTCTTGTTAGCTATAGTTTTAATTTAAATAGTAACTTGTTTCCATGTCCGACCGTGTGCAATATCTGCAATTGTAGAAGGAGAAATATCAAAATCTTCTGCAATTTTTCTATATGGTTTTTTATTTGCTATTTCAATTTTTATTTGTTTAACTTTTTCTTCATTTAACTTTGTATGACGACCTCTGTCTGTAAATACCTCTGGCATTATAGAGGTATATCTTTTTCCAGTCCAAATATTTAAAAACGATTGAAAGTGCATGCAATCTTTATATTTATTATTATAAATTTCAGAAGGACTTTTCTTTTCCTTATAAGCAATACGAAGTTCTATCACTTCTTCTTCTGTTAAACTGGCATGTGCCTTCATCATATTATTTTTTGCTTCTTCAGTAAAAATTCTTGGTGAATTATTTCCACCTTCTAAAATATTATATCCATTAGGAACTTGGGTTTTATATTTATCTATAAAATATATTTCTAACTCATTTAATATATCCAATGAAGATGTAGATAACAATATTTCATAATTAAAATTATCATATCCATATTTTCTAAAAGCCTTATGTAATAAAGCGTTATATTCACTATCTTTTTCATTAAAAGCTGAACTTTTATGCTGATTATAGCGCTGTTCTGGATTAATGGTTTGTCCAATATATTTTTTACCATTTATTAAATTTGTATAACAATATATAATTCCCATAGAAAATTCTCCTTTCTTTTTCTATTTTTATATGAAAGTAGTCAATTTTAAATTGACTACTTTCGTCCTAAAAAGCAGAACTTTCTTCCACACGGATTTTTAAATTTTCCATTTCAACCATATTATAAGACCAATCAGTAGAAAAAATAGGATTAAATCTACAAATATTTTTATCTGCACTTACCCATAAATAAATTCCTTTCCATCTACCCTGTCTATTCTTATAAACAGATATTTTAACATTTGGAATTGGTAATTTATTTTTATTACAAAAAGGAGTTATTTTTTCAATATCGTCTTTAGTAACATCTAACATTATCATTCCAATATCAATTCTATCTGCAATGGCTTTAGAGCCTCGTAATAAATTTTGGTCTGGAGTTTCTGTTTCTTGATAAGCACTATTTAACTGTGTACTACTTAATACAAAAACTCCGTATTGTACTGCTATATCTTTTAATTTTGAAGAAAGTAAAAACAGTACATTATCTTCACGCAATCCTTTAATGCCTTTACTTCCTCCAACTTCCATTAAAATAGAAGCTGAAGAGTGCACGTAATCCATAAATACATACTGAACATGATTTTCTCTAATATGTTTTTTAATTACTGTTTCAATAGATTGCATTGTAAAATCTGGCATGCATTCAAAGTGAATGTGACTATTCTTTAAAATTTGTGCAGCTTTTTTTACTCGTTCCCATTCCCCAACATAATATTCACCTTTTAATATATGCTCTTCATCAACACCTGCAATAAAAGAAATACACATTGATTGACATTCTTGTAAATCTTGTTCTGTTGCAATGTATAATGATTCTTGACCTTTTCCAATAGTAATCCATTTATTTTCAAAAATATTATACATTTGGTCACATCCAATATAGCAACAATCTGCAATCATACTACGAGTTTTTCCGACACCTGTAGCAGCGGAACGAAGAAAAAATTTTCCAAGTCTAGCACCTCTAGTTACTGTGTTGATATAATCTCCATATAAAGGATATCCCACTGCAGGAGTTTCCTTTAAAGACTCTAAGAACTCGTCAATTCCTTCACCAATCTGACAGCCGCCATCTGTAACATTTTCAACATACTGTAACTTGATGCTATCAATTTTGTCATTGATTTTATTATATATATCAGCAAGAGTGGCATTATCTAACCAATCCTCTTGTGCTTGTTTCCTTTTCATATCCATTACTTCGTCTGGATTATATAGCCAAGTTAAATCCATTCCCATTTCTTCATATGCACGAAGTAATGACATTTTCTTCATTCTGTTGTAATAATAATCAAAAGTATTGACATTAGCCATTTCCGCAGCTTTAAGAATGAACTCAGGTCCTTTGTTGGTTTTATATGTTGCCAATGCTTTTGGTCTTTGTGTAAGATAATCTTCAATAGCAGGAAGTGTAATCTCTTTCGCACCTAATTGCCAAAGATTATACATACAACCAAATACTAATTGATGAAATTCATCATAAAAGTCTTGTTCATTGAACTTATATTTATCGTCTCTCTCAAGTAGCTTTGGGTTCTTGAAGATGCACCCAATTACTTGGACGAGATTCGGAATCTCTGCATATTTATTACTCTTCATCTTCCCACTCTCCTAAATCAAAAAATTGTTGTTTCGTACCTCTCATTTTAGGCGGCTTGATAATTATTTCTTTGACTTTTGTTATCAAAGTTTTATCTTGGGTAGCCTGTTGAGCGAGGAATAAACTGTAATAATAATTATACGCATCTTGGTAGCAAAAAGGGACTATACCTATTGCGTTATTCGCCTTTTCTTTAGAATTATGTTTTACATCATAAAAATATACTAAAGATTTGAGAATACCGCTATATGAATAGCCATTTTCCTCTTTATATTTTTTTATTTGTTTGTTAATCATTGCCCAGTTGGCATTTTCACCAAATAATGTACCTATGTAGTCTTTTAACTTTTGAAGTTCAGGGTCATTAGCCCCACCTTCCATTGGCACTAATTCACCATCGGGTTCACAAGTTTGGTGAGAATATCTGCGGGCACCGTGCTTTACTGCCTGAATCGCGTTTCTATCAAACTCGACCCCGCATATCGCGCACTTGCACATTTTCTTCGCCATTAGAAATTAAATCCTCCTCGTCTTGGTGACTTTGCCTGTTCTAATTTTACTGATACACCTTTGCAATTATTTAATAAGAGTTCGCAATTCTCTCTAGCCAATCTATCATTTTCTCTCTGTAACTCCTCTATCCTTTGCTCTAACAGATAAACTCGTTTACTTTGTTCGTAAGCGTCTTTGCAAGATTGGCTCTTTAACTCATTGTATTCGTCTTCAGTTAATATAATCTGCATACTGACATACCTACTCTTTCTCTTTAATATATAAATATTATAACATAATTTTTTAGAAAAGTAAAGCGGGGGTATCGCTACCCCCGCATTTGGATTTTATAATTAAACTTCCTTATATTTAACCATATCCTTTAAGTCTGTAACAATAAGGTCGATTGCTTCAACCTGGTCTCTTGTTGCATCCTTAATCTTCTTGCCCTTGCCGAGATATTTCTCAATGCACTGAGCAATTCTTGGCTGCCAGTATTCTCTGAACTGAACTCCCTCTTCTGTTTCGCCCTTAATATCAGTTGAACCAGGAATATTAGCAATAATATTCTGAAACTCTTTCATAAGGTCATCAAAGTTAAGTTCTGTTGTTGTATCAACATAAAGATTATTTCTTGTTTCAGTGAAGTACTCTGTTCCATCTTCAGCCATCTGCTTATCAATAGCATCGCCAATAGCTGCACATAAATCCTTATATGTGAAATCAATGTAATCAGGTGTGTACTTAAATCTTGAACCAGTACTCTGCGTTGATACCACTGCTTATAACTTAGTTGAAGTACTTCCATCACTATCCTGTACTCCTCTTGAATAACCAATAATATCGCACATACGAGCAACGATATTTCTTGGCTTGTTACCAAGAGTAGGAACAATCTGATTGTATTCTTTACCAGATTCATCAGTAAATGTCTTATCTACTGCGTGTGAAATAAGAACAAGTCCATAATTCATCTGAACAATCTTACGAAGACACTCATCAAATTCTTTACCAGCAAGTGTATATCCTTTACCATATCCGATATCACCAATAGCATCTACACCATTATTTGAACAGATATAATTCTCACAATAGTCATATGCAATATCAGCAGTATCAATGATAATTGTTTCAAATTTAGCTTGTACTTCAGGCTCTTTCAACTGGCGGAGAACCTTACGGAACTCTGACCATGAGTTAATTGGCTGCGCCATAGCTCCTGGGATTGCGTTATAACCTTTCTCAAATGCTAAAAGCAAGTGATTAGGAAAGCGGGTTGCGGTTGTAGTCTTTCCTGACTTAGGCTCACCGTAGAAAAAGACTGAATATCCGCGCATATCACGGGATACCTGGTGAGGCTGAATATTTAATAAATCAAAATCTGCCATGTTTTTCTCTCCTCTTATAATTTCGTATTAAAAATTTCCAAATGCTCTATTCGTTTCTGATTTGCGACCATCTACGCCCCAAGTACTCTGCGTTGATACCACTGCTTAAAAGCATGAATCCCATAAATAGGTCAAAAAAATTGGGGAGCCGAAGCTCCCCTAAAGGGGACTTAATTAGAAATTAAATCCACCAGCTGCCGCAGTTGTTCCTGCTGAAGGAGTAGCTGCTGCAGGCGCGCTTGCTGCTTTGCTTGCCTGATACTCGTCAGCTCTCTTCTTAACATCTGCAAGATATACTTCACGGTCAGCCATTGCTGTCTTAATCTCGTCAGCAGTGATTCCGTCCTTTTCATCACCAATCTCGTAAGTTTCCTTCGCTGTACCAGTGATTACCCACTCACGAACTGTTCTTGTGTATTCCTTAACTGCCGCATCACCAAATGCTGACTCTTCCTCTCTCTTGTCTACGATAGTCTGAGATTCAATCTTACCCCAAACCTTTGTGAATACAAGATTAGAAGGAGATGCATCAAGTGACTCGAAGTACTTAATTCCACCTGCGCTCTTTACAACAAGCTCAACAGGAAGAATTGCATTTCTGAAGTTAAATACTGCTCCCTTAACAATAAGGTAATCAGCGTCGATATGCTTCTCTTCGTCTGCTTCAACAAGACGAGTTCCATTGATTAACATATCAAACTCAAATGTATTACGAGTAGCCTCTTCACCTAACTTATTAGTTGCGTGAACAAAACCACCATCATTTCTCTTAGCTGAAACTAAAGTTTCCTCGCCGTTACGAGATGTGTAGAAGTCATTAAGACCAAGTGCTGTATCAATTCTTACCATTGTAGCAGCATCCTTACCATCTACAAGAACTGTCTTACCATTCTCAATAATGTTCTTAAGAGTTGTGTAAGTCTCGTTCTTAGTTCCCTTTGAAGTAACCTCAGTTACATATGTGAAAGCTACAGTAACAACATTAAGTCCAGCCTCGTCAGTCTGAATATCAAGTGTACCGTTGATAAACTCTTTACCATAATTCTTAGACTCTGTGTTCTGTACTGTCTTAATTGCTAAATTGTGCTCGTATACGTATCCTTCAATATGCTCTCTGTTAATTGCTTTCTTCATCTTAAATCTCCTTGTCTTAATTTGATTTTACTTTTTTCGTTCCATATAAATATTATATCAAAAATTTTGTGATTTGTCAAGGACTTATTCTGCACTTAAGTCGATTGTCATTCCTTTATCTGTAAGGGAATAAACCACAGGGTTCTCACCCATCTTTTCAACATAACCATCTGTAACCAACTTACGCATAGCACCTGAAGCTGTTCTTGAAGTAATATTCATTCCTTCACCAACTTCCTTTGCTTTAAAGAGGTTATTATATGTTTCCTTGTTCTCCTGCATAAACTGAAGAACTGCTTTTCCGTTCTCTGTGAACGCTGGCTTTTCTTTATCTGCGGCACCTTTGAGTGCGGCAAAGTAAGTCATCGCGTCCTCTGATAATGTTGCTCCATGTGCTAGAATATCTTCAATTTCCGCAATAAATGTTTCTTTCTTACTCATTGTTTCACTCCTTGTAAATCATTTTTATTTCTTCATTTCTATATTTATATTATATCATAATTTTTTGAAAATTACAACCAATAGAATTATTTACCATCGTCGATATGAGCTTTAATCATTTCCTCATATTTAAGTCCTAACTCGATAAGCTGCTTAATTCTATCTTTAGTAGGCTTGCGGCCGCATGTATTTCTTTCCTCACAGAAGCCACAAACTTCACATTTAGGCTTGAAGAATTCGTCTACAATAGCTGCCCACTCTTCTGAATACTCACGAAGTGCCTTCATAAGGTCATTCATTAACTGTCTGAACTCCCAATAGGCTCTACTACATAATCTTTGATGTGACATATCAATTAAGTGTCTAAGATTTGTACGAAGTACAATTTTTGTTTCCATACCAAGAGGAAGGATATTTGCAATATCTTCTTTAGGAATATCACACTCTTCCTGTAAATATCTATAAGTATCAGAAATTGCACCCATACATTCTAAATATGCTACTTTTGCATTTTCATCAGCATCAATTTTTGGCGGAAATACAACATCAACATTTTCATAATTGATATATCGAGTACTTGCCTGGAGACGGGTAGGGCCGCCCGCAATGTGAGTATATAACTCTCGAATAACCCTTGCAGAGTATCCATCTAAAACGATATAAACCTGAGGGTATTCCGCTGTACGCATATGTCCTGACCTTAAACAATCAAGACCTCTCTTGTAATTTTTATTTACATCACTGGTATCTGCTCCCCAACAGATACCAGCTTCTTCACCAATCATAGAAATAGGACTTTTAGTAGTATAACTCTGAACTAAAATCTTTCCCATTTTACACGAACTCCTTCGCAATTTCATCACAAACTCCGTACTTAAGAGCCTCGTCCGCAGTCATCCACCAGTCGTCCTTAATATGCTCTTTGTACTCTTCTGGAGTAATCTTTGTGTATTTAAGTGTTACTTCTTTTAATTGCTCAAGTTCCTTTTGATAGAACTCTGCATAGTTTCTAAACTTACCAGCATCTGCACCTGTTGCGGTAGCACCCTCGTGATAGAGGAATGATGCGTGGTCATATGCAAATCTACGGTGACCTGCGATAAATGTAAAGAAACCTCCACTATATGCGGCACCTGTGCAAATTGTCCAAACAGGAGTCTTAGAAAGCTTAATAGCATCAATCATAGTGAATGTATCACTTAGACATCCTCCGTTTGAATCAATATAAATCTTGATTGGCTCACGGTCTTCAATAGGAGTGTTACGCTTATCATCGTATTTATTCCAAAAACGAATGTATCCTTCTACTGTCTGACCTAAACCAGAACAAATATCACCAACATAGACCTCACGATTTACTGCTCCGTCAAGATTGATAACATCTTCAAATGTTTTAATATCATCTTTGACATTTTCAGCAAGAGCATCTACTAAATCATCAAGGTCAAATTCCTGAATATCGTAATCTGTATTTTCCATTTCTGCCATAGCAAATTCTCCATTTCTTATTTATTTCCACGAGTACTGTTATAACCATAATCGTAGGAACTGTATAAATCTATATAGTATTTTTCTTTTTCATTTAATTGGTTTTGAGGACAAACCTCAAGAACTTCAAATGAAAAATTCCATAAACCAAATTCTTGGATTGCTTTATAGAGTTTATTACCTGCGGGGGTGTCGATACCCAGACCGCATTTTGCGTGTTCAACCCATCTGTCCTTTATATGTATAGCTTGACCGATGTAACACTCTTTTGTTTTGATATTGGTTATCTTATAAATACCCGTTGCATCTGTTGCACCAACCACATTCGCAGAAAGTGCTTTGAGAGGTTTTTGAAACCATGTCTGCCATATTAACATGCTCAAAACTCTCGGCTTATTTAATGAAGGTTTTAATGCTTCAAGTTTGGCAATATCTATCTTATCGGCATCCGATATATCCAAACAATAGAAAGTAAGATTACTTTCAATATCCTTTTCTCTCCTTGCCGCTTCTATTGCGGCGGTGCGGGTGGCTTTGATTTTATCTAGGTCCGAGCGGACTTCATCGGCTTCCCGCAAAAGTTTAAGTTGAAGATTACTATACGCGGTATTCAATGCTTCAATTTCCATATCGTGTTCTTCTTCAACTTCTTTGTATTTCTTCTCAAGAACATCACAGTAATTTTTGAAAGCATTACTTGACATCTCTTGTTGATTATCTATTGCATCTTGAATTGTAGAGAGATGTTTTTTACCTTCTTCTATTTGAGTAGTTAGTTTATTATTTTCACTCAAAATAGTTTCATTTGTAGCTTTATACAGGTCGTATTCTGCTTTTAATCTCTCTGTTTCTTCGTAGATTTTTTTGTTCGCATTACTTGCGGCTGTATCGACTTTTTTCTTCGTTGTGGCACAATATATAGCCACAAGTACAGCGATAACTGTGATACATATTAAAGCTATCGTCATAAACAAGAAAAAGGGCTAGCCATCTTAGTTATACAACTAAGACGACCAGCCCTCTAATAGTCTATTACTCAGCGTCAGCCTTAGCTGCATCCTGTGCCTGAGCAGCTGCATGGTCATATGCAAGTCCAGCTTCTGTTGCCTGAATGAACTTAACTGGCTTGTGTGTTCCGTCCTCAAGCTCGATTTCTGCAGGAATTCTCTCTGCATAACCCTTTCTCTGAAGACCAGAAGTTACGATACCATCAACTGATTTCTTCTCAAGACCAAGTGCTTCAGCAATATCTGCTGCTGTCATCTGAACGCCCTTGTTAGCCTTTAAATAATCCAATACTACTAAACTCTTTTCGCTTACTGCTACATTTGCCATTTTTTTTGTTTCCTTTCAATTAAAAAATATAGTTTGTTGTTATAAGTGATAGATATTTCACTTTATATAATAATTATACCAAAAAATTTTCAATTTGTCAAGAATTTTTTCATTATCATTTCGTCTATTCTTAATAAATCCTCAATGGAGCAGTCACCTACAAGTTTTTCCATCTGAGCCATATTCTCTGATATATTATTTCCTTTTTCACACTCTGCATCGAGTTTCGCAATCTTACGAGCGATTTCTCGTCTTTCTTTTCTATTCAATTATTATCTATCTCCTTATGTATATATTATATCAAAAATTTTCTGAGTTTTCAACATAAGGAAGAGGTTAATCTTTCTTAATGATGAACTAGCCCGAACGAAGTGAGGGATAAGTTCAGCATTACTCGTCCGAAGGGATTGTACTATATATAAAATTCAAAGACAGGTCTTTAATCAGTTTTGACCAAAGGCATCAATGAACTCCGCTTCAGTAATAATAGGGATACCTGCTTTCTTGGCAGCTACATTCTTTGCTGATGTTGAAGTGTTGTCATTGTTAAT